TTATCCACTCCTTGGCATCTTAAGTTAATGGAGGGAGGAGAAGCTGTGAGGACAGCACACTCTTGAAGGTTCTTTCCTGGAAGATAGAATTAAAACCACTAGAGGAGGGAGGACTGGAAGAGATTGGTACTGTCATCTCAGAGTGCGGTCACACACAGAGCCAGAGCCCATCCTTTAGCTCTATGACATATAGACCAAAACCTCAAATTCTTAGATGCCACCGTCTTGTCGAGGTTTTGAGAGGAGTGCCTAAGGAATTTAATTGGGGGGGGGGGCGGGGAGGGCAGTGGTGGTAAGTTTTCATTGGTTATTTTTCTCTGGGTGCCTATGAGGCTGCTGTACTTGAGGCGAACAAAGACATCACCCAGTCTGGAATTTGCAAAGCAAGGGACAGAGCGGTGTTGGGGCACACGGGAAGTTAACACCTTGGGTAGCACAAGAAAACCACTTTGAAATGGACAAAACATCCTTTAACATGCTTCAAAGAACTTTCAAGATGGAATTAGTCTAAAAGGTTTCCCAGCTGCCGTGTTCCACTCCTTTATGTGGCATTCATTACATTCTCTGTATTAAAATCTTAATCCTGTGTTGGGGTTGGGGAGGGTTGTAAGGTTGAGGTGTGTGTAAGGTCTCATATCCAGTGCTGCTCTCCATGAGAGCCTCTGGCTGATGTGTCTGTCTCCCATCTCATGATGGGAGTGCTGGGATTATGGATGTCAGCCACCATATGCAGCTTTCTCTTTAGAAACCGAGTACCAGGCTCGTGCTACTTTTACCTTTGGAGCCACCTCACGGGCCACATTCCATACATCCAGTGAATGTATTAACTGTCTTGTAGCTGTCTGTGTAAGCCCCTGCCCTTGCTTTGTGCTGGAACTTCAATATTTTTAAGATTCTGCAAGTAAAGCAGTTTTAGAGCAGTTGGTTTGACAACCACAAAAACCTCAGTTTCTTTTTAGCAATGTAATTTCATATTATGTAGTAAAAATTTTAATCTAGGAATAATTGTTTTTCAAGGTTATTAAAAAGGCAGCCAGCACCATTCATATTGATGATTAGGAGAGAGACTTTGTTTAACGCCTGTGAAACAGGAGTTCAGTGAGAACTTGAGTTCACTTGTTCCAACATTTCAGCCTCCAGCCGCTAGAAAGTTCTTCTTTGTATCTTACCTACATGCAGAACTCTTTGTTATAGATCAGAGTCACCTAGGAAACCAGGCACAGTAGCTCATGATGTTAGCTTCACATTAATCAGCCCCTGCTTGATAGGAAGTCATTTCGGAGTGTTTCAAGCTACACTTGTTGGATGGAAACTTGATTTTCTCCCTATGGGAAAAAGTGTATCACTTACAGTTGTCCTCATATCCAGCCCCTCAGGTCAAAAAGCCAACACAACACACAGGTTCTTGGATGGCTGGCAATATCTTTAGGCCTCTTAGGATTCAAGTCTAGAATGTTCTCTGGGCTCTGCACCAAAGGTGTGGTTGCTGGCTCCTGGACTGTGGGGAGTAACCCATTCACGGAGTGCTGACTTGATATTATTTGGAAGGTTGGGATCCTGGCAGAGGAAATGGGTTGCTGAAGGCATGTGATGGCAAGGTGTGTCTTGTCTCCAGCCCCTCTCTATCTGTTCCCTGATCTCCATGAGGTGAGACCTTTGCTTCACTGTGCCCTCCCTGCCAGGGTTTGCTTCAATTTGGAGCCATAAGCAAGGAGCCATAAGCTGGCCAGCCTAGACTGGAGACTAGGAACCATGAGGCAAAGCAAGCTGCTCTTCCCTTGAGTGATGTCAGATGCTTTGTCATAGCACTAAAAACTAGTGTGAGGCCTGGGTGCCTTTAGAGTCCTGAGCTAGCTGTGTCTGAGAGCAAAGAGAGTCAGGGGAAAGGAAGAGAGGCGGCTGTGTCAGAGGTGATGGTCAAGGAAGTGGGGGAAGAAGAAACGAGGAACAAAGAATGATGGCAGCAGGCTCCAGGGCACAGTTCAAGAATGTCACCCACAGTGCCTGTGCCTTGTACATCCTGGATGAACTAGCAAACCCACAGAGGTGAGAAAAGATTGGCGTTGAGGCTGCTGTGCTGAGTCACATCCCCACAGGGCAGGGCCATGGCCATCACCATCCACAGCTGAAGCAGCCATAGCCTGTCAAACACCTGGTTGACGTGGCCAGGGACTTCAGGGCATTAAAGCTGGTGAACCTCGCTCTTGGAGGACTAGCTGGCCAAATGCACTGCACAGAAGAGGGCATGCCTGATCTGTCTGTGCAGGGCCCAGGAATCCCCCTCCCCCCAGGCAGGTCTGACTGCAGAGGTGGAGAATGCGACATTAACGGTGCAGGCCCACCTCAGCAAGCCTGCAAGTGGAGACAGGCATGGCTCTAGTCTGGAGCCCCTCAGACAGGCTGTGTGATCCTGAAAGGCATCTTCTGACATTCACATTCTCTGAACTGGCTGGGTCAGCACCCTGCTGTTTCTCACAGAGAGATGATGTCTCTGTCTTCATAGGTGTTCCATACACATAAGTTCTCGGTCTTATTGTTAGGAAATTTAAAATGATTGAGGTGTGAAACACAGTTCGGTACTGAGGGTGCCATATATATATATATATATATATATATATATATATATATATATATACACACACACACACACACACACACATACATATATACATAGATATATAAGAATTATACATACAGATACATACATATATGTGTGTGTGCACGTGCACATGCATGTGCATGCACACACACTAGTTAGCCTAGTAATGTGGGCTATTGTGTGACTACTGTGACCATTGCTGTGACACTAGCCTAGTATAATAGTGTTCCTGCATGGAAAATGCTGAATGTTGCTAGCACATTCTAAATGGGTGGCTGAACTGCCCCTTTGGTCTTGAGTTCTGAACAGGTAAAACCTTAATAAAACTAAGTAACACATGGCTACCAACTCTATGCTTAAAGAAGTGGAACAGAGGAAAAAAATTACATTCCCTATGGGCGTTGTCAGGGAAACTTGTTTTGAAGTCACATTATTTACCCGAGCATTTGGGCCAATACACAGCCTAACTCACGCTGCTTCTATGTCCGTATTGGTTGATGGAATAGGCTGAGACCCTACACGGATGTCTGATTGCTTGAGTATGCCTGAGCAAGACACTTAAATGTTATTGAATGGCCAGAGAGATGCAGTGCAAGGATTCTGAACAGGGTGACAGTATAAGCCCTTGTGTAGACTGGAAAGAAACATGCAAAGGGTGATATCTGATTGCAGGCCTGTGACCGGCTCCTCTTTATTTTTCTGAGGCTTCTTGGAACACACACCCTGACTAACATTTCTAAGAGCATTTTTCTGATGGTGACAGTGGCTCTGTGTGTGGAGGTGGGGGTGGTACAAGACACAGGGCTTGTGTCTCCTGAGGACTGAGGAAGGTGTGAATTGTGGCACTTAGGACAAAATTTAGCCCATAGACGCCCAGGTCAGACTCATGCCAGACCTTCAGTGTCTGGTCCAGCCTTCTAACGGGGAATGTTAAGTTCGTAGAAACTGTTGGAGGGTTGCACATGGTTCCTCCCTATGCTAAGTACTGTCCTGCAAACCTGTTTTCTCATCTCACTCTGCCCTTGAGGTTTGTATCACCGAGGTGTTTGTGCAGGTTGATGAATATTTTAAAAAATCCCACCATCCCAGAGGCAGGCCACTAAAATATCTGTCAATTCTCTTACCCCATCCTCTTTAATCAGAATTCTGTTGTTTGAAAACAGTGTGCGTTTGTGCTTCGGTCCCACGTAAAGATGTCATTCAACTGGGCTCTGAGGTGTGCATGTACTTCACAGTTTACACACAGTGCCAGACAGAGTCTGGTCTTTCAGGTTACATGGACAGTAGTTGGCAGGAGCTCATCAGAGAATGGAGGCTGTGGTTCGGTATGAAACACCATAGGCAGAGACAGGCTGGGAGGGTCTGTGGTGTGGGTTGACTTATGCTTAGGCTGTTCCGACCCCAAAGAGGCTGCTGAAGTGGGTCCATATCTGGTACTTTGCTGGAGGGTGCATTGCTACCCCCACCCTTTACTTCAGGAGTGAAGCTCGATGAGCGAGAGCCGTGTGGTTCTTCCTGGAGGGTGCTCTGCAGAGTGTTAGCTATAGCCAGGGTCCCTATGCTTGCTTCACTCACCTTTCAAGTTCTCACTAACACTCTAGAAGCTCCTGAATATTCTTTGTCTGAAGTGATGGGTTCCCTGCAGTCAAACAATAGTGAGCTGCTTTTGTTTTAATGCTGCAGAGGGCAGATACTGGCAAGGCCTTAAGACTAACCAGCTGTCACTATGAAAGAACAAGGTCTCAAGCAGGATTTAGTGGCTCCAGCCTTGGAGTTGGTGCTCATTATGGAGCCACCTGAAGGATGGCACTTCAAAGTTCCTCCAGGAACTAACAGGTAGAAGTGTAGTTTCTGGCATTCCCACTTGTGGTTTTAAACAGTGTTTCTTCTATGCTTCAGAATGGGTGGGTTTGCATTTCACAGGCTCTTTCTTCAGTGAAAGAAACAGAGATGAGGGGAGAAGGTGCCATGTACAGCCTGCTTTCTAACAGGGTGATTAATATTGGCTTAGGTAAATTTTGAAGTGCCTTCTGGTTACAAGTAGCCTTTATTTCTAAAACAAAAGATGGTTTGAAAGGGGAAATCAGCCATACTCTCTTGAATCTGAAAGTGGAAACAAGTGCTGATCTGGTTGTTCATAAAACCTCAAGTACAGTGTCTTGAAGGTGTCCCTCCGTCAGCCGAAGAACAAATGTCTCCATTTAATGTATGACTGTGTCGGGGAAAAATGCAACCCCAGTAGGTGACCAAAGAGAGAATCGACTTTCAGGGGTTTCAAAGCCCAGGAGTGTTTAGTATTTGCTCTCTCAGCACTAACAAGGTCACCTTGCTAATGCATGTTAATTCTGAAAGTTTAATTGACCTCTGGAATTTTAATATCAACCTTTTTTGGTGTGTTTAGAGGTTGGAGCAGTCACAGAAGAAACTGAAGCTTGTGATTGGTGGAGCCTGGGTGCTGTCCTCTTCGAACTTCTCACTGGCAAGGTACAAAGTGACCTCAACACCTAGCACACACATCCAGATGCCACCCTGACTCCAAGTCACGCCCGCTAGCCTTCCTGTAGTCATTAGATCAGGGCTGAGGGAAACTTCAGTGTCAGGACAGGCAGAGGAATTTATCAAGATTCCAATTTTTTTAAAATCGTGTAACATTGAATAAATTGATGGTAATCCTCTGCTATGTCACAGCTACCCAGGGAGAGACTTGTCTCTTCCCCTGCCCTCCCTGTGACACAGAATCACATCTGTGGGGTTTGTAACAGGCGTGTGCTAGAACCCTCCTGATTCTTTCAGGTTCTTGTCTGACGCTGGGGGGGGGGGGCGACAGGAATTAATTTATTAAAATTGGTGTTGATTTTTGAAGGTAACATTTTTTCCTTTATACGGTATATTTTCCCTATCTGTCTAGTATAGAATGAGGACAGAGAGTGATTAGAAACTTTTAAGCACAATGCTCGAGGTTAAGAGACCTTAACTGAGTTTTGTGCCTGTTGCCTCCTGGGAAGAAACTGGAGGAAACACATAGCCCCACTTTTAAGTGTGTGAATTAGCAGTGTAAGATCACTGTGAAGTCCACAGTAGCTGAAGTTTGCAGTAAAACTGTAAAATGTGACTATATACACATGTTGAAGCACTGACTAACAAACTCTACACTGAAAGATTTTTAAGAACATTAGTTATTTCATAGCTGTCGGCTTACTCTTTGGAGTTTGTGCATTATTTAAGCTTTTTCTGTTATGATCCAGTCCCTCAGTGACGAAGAAGGGACGCTTGCACAGGCCATGATGGGAGCATGGTGGCTGTCAGCTGCTTTGCTTTTAGGCTCACAACTTAATCTGCCTGCACGAGGCTGTGTTGATGGCTGTGCCCCCAGTTTGGATGGTGTCAGCTGTCTGTAGTTGCTGCTTGTATGTCCCGGGATTGAACAGGGTGTGATGTTATTGGAATAAGAAATGTAACTGATTCACTGTTTCAGACACTGGTGGAGTGCCACCCAGCAGGAATAAATACCCATACCACTTTGAACATGCCAGACTGTGTTTCTGAAGAGGCTCGCTCACTCATTCAACAGGTAATTGAATCGACCTCCTGGCTAAGTACCTTCAGCTTGCAGATTAGCAAAGCCCACTGCAGTAGAGCTATTAGGAAGTATTTGGGGGCAGAAAAGACTCACATGCAGTCACATTCAGAGTGAACATGGCACATTTGTAGGATCAGAGGATGGGATGGAACTTGTTGGCACTAATTTTCCTATTGAGTTGGGGCTGATGCTGAGTCAGTTCCATCCATTTATGGAGTGTGAGATTAGATTGCTTCTGGCTGGTCTGGGACTGCCCCATCTCCCTATTGTATTATGTAACCATTTGTTGAATGGTTGCTCCACTCTCTAATTCTCATTTGCACAGGGAGAAGGGTTATGACATGTGAAGTCAGCCCAAGGGCCTCCTCCCCTTGATGGGACAGGAGCCCTGTGCCAGTTTGTATAGTTCTGGTGACTTTGGAACCCTATGCCAGCCAGTTCATATGGTTCTGGTGGCTTTGAGAAAGACTCTACTGAGAAATTAGGTACAGCATGTCAGAGGTCTGAGCTCCTGTGAGCTGCTCCAACTAACTATCCTCTATGTAACAATGCAGCAAAAGCCCAGCAGCGACCAGAGCTTTCCAGGATGTGGGTTTGGTAGTGCCTGTATAGACTTTATGGCTAGGCAGTCCTAATGAAAGCAATTCAACATCCTAAATGCTCTGAAATCTAAACTTTGTTGAGCGCCCGTGTATTCTCAGGGAATCTAAGAGTTCAGGGTGTCTGAGAATCGTGTTCAGGTGAAGGCCCCTCACCTCTGCCTCCATCGTCCTGAGGCGGGGGTTCTGCTGAGGGAAGGTGCTGTGTTGTACTGTTGCGATGTGAGGGGCTCGCAACACTGCAGTCTCCATACTTCCATGGAATTCACGAAACAAAGAGGTGATTTGAAGTGGTGAACCGAGTGAACTGAATTATTCAATGAATGGATGTTTTGAAGTCAGGGAAAATAAAAATTAAAAGAAAAAAAGAGGCATATGAAGAAAAACATACCCTCACGTTCTCCTAAAGAGTAATTTTTGATTCCATTTGGCAGTACTGTGGGCAAGGCATAGCGCTGAAGCTGTGGGGTCAAAACCAAGTAGCTGTCCACAGGCAGGGCTGCGAAGGAACTCTGACAGGCAGAGACTACCTCGGAGCTCTTCAAGTCCAGAAAAGGGGGCTCCTGGTAGGTGTGCAAGTATTAGGAAAATTGTTGTGGGCTATGTGTTCTTTTGCTGGGCTTTGGCAGAGTTTAGTAGGGGAAGCGTAGATATGGGGGAAGCAGCGTAGGGGGACTGAACAGTGACGAGGGAGGTTGACATAGGGTTATAGTAGTGGGGGCTTTCTCACTGATGCCGTTGTCATGAACAGAGGATGGAAGGATACAGCTCTTCTATAATGTGGGATTTGCTGTTGTGCAGAAAAGGGAAAGTGTCAGAGTTGAGTTAATTTGCCCAATTCTGTGAAATATAAAGAAACATAGCCATGGGCTGGGGATGTGGTTCAATTGGTAGTGTGCCTGCCTAGCATATTACAGAGCCCCAAATTCCCTCCTCAGACTGAATAAAAGCAATATGATGGCACATACCTGTTGTTAATGTCATTCTTGGTTACTGATAAGTTTGGGTCTAGCCTGGGATACATGAGACATACCAATTTTTAAAACATACAGATTTAAAGGGGGGGGGGTAAGGAGGAGGTGGAGGAGGAAGAGGAGGGAGGGGTGAGGAGGAAGAGGAGGATGGGGTGAGGAGGAAGAGGAGGAGGGAGTGAGGAGGAAGAGGAGGGGGGAGGAAGAGGAGGGCGGGGTGAGGAGGAGGAGGGAGGGGTCAGTAGGAGGAAGACACCAACAGCAGGAAATGTGGGAAGGAGCAGTATGGTTAGGCACGGGTGCACACACAGAGCCTTGGTCTGTAGTCAGTGTCAGAGAAAACCATTCAGGACCATGTAAGATGCTCCGTCCCAGCTGCCCATCTGGTTCCATCTTCTTTATTGTGGTGCAAGGAAATGAAAGTATTTGTGGAGGGAGGTAAGGGACCCTGTGCAGAAATATGAAAGCCATATGCAGACACACCAATGCCAGATCGCTGAGAAGCAGGAACAAAGGGGAAACTGTAAAGCCAGCAAGAGAAAGACGCATCTCATGGGAGGGGGTATTAATGCTTGGTTTCTCATGGAAAACAACAAAGAACAGAGGACCCTAGAATATCATTCATAATATTGAGGGGGGAAGTATCAGCCTGTAATTCATAAAAGGTTTTTTTTTTTCCCCCATAAAGGTGAGATACTCTCAGATAAAGAATGATGAAGTAGCCCCAGCCATGGGTGTACCTCAACCATGGATGTGCACCGTTCATAAGAGCTAGGGTCTCTTGGGGTGGATGGGATGATGGCAGGTTGGGGCTCAAGTCTGAGCACACTGAACAGTGCAGTGGTAGAGAGAAGTTCATAAAAAGTCTACATATGTTTTTTTCCCCCATTTATTTTCCCTATCTGTTAAAAAAAAATACAGACACATGTAGTAACAATTGTGAGCTGGTGCTGCTGGGTTTATGACATGTTTAGACACAGTATACATGTAGCTTTTTCTGTAAGTACATTCTTCATCCCTGAATCCAAACAACATACACATATATGTGCATATGTATACAGCTCACACCTGTAATCCCAGCATGTGGAAGGTTGAGGCAGGAGGACAACCATTAATTAGTTCAGGTCCAGCCTGGGCTACATATTGAGTCATTCCAGGCCAATGTGAGTCACAGTATGAGACCCTGCTTCAGAAAAAAAAACTAGAAGGGGTTGTGTGTGCACATTTTTCTCCTCACTCCCTCTACACACTGCAGTGCAGGAGCTATTTACATACTGGTCACATTGTGTTGTGGGTTAAAAACAACTGAGGTGATTGGAAGTGCGTGGTGGGAGGATATAGATTTATCCGACACTGTCAAGGACTTGAGCACCCACCCATGTATCGTGATATTCACGCAGGCTCCGGACTGTACCCAGCAATAGTAGAGGGAAATCCCACCTGTTACCGAGTTAGCACTATTTCTGAAGTGGACTGTGATCAATTAAGCTGTGTGGTTCCTACAGCAACTGCTAAAGGAACCCTGGGAACTCCAAGTGAGTGTCTGTACACACTGTACAAAAAGGCCTTCAAAGTGCCTGGAAAGTACGTAGGACAGCTTTGAGTGACAGCTTTGAGTTCAGGTACAGGAGGGTTGAAGACAAAGGTTAAGGACAGGCAAAGTGTACACACAGTCACCCGGAGGTCTGGAGTGACACTAAAGGTCAGCAAAGTGGACATTAGAGCAGGGGCTTGGCAGAGATTGATAGCATCTCATGAGAAGAGGTCAACATAGGGAAATGTAACTAGTCTAACTAGTAATAGCCCCCAAAGTACATAAAAAGACTGACTTGAAAGGTAAAGTAGCTCAGTAAAACAAATGGAGTCCTCCATGTCTCATGTAGGTAGTTATAGGCACCAGCAGGCTACAGAGGACACACGTGCTGGTACAGACAGCTCTGTAGTGACTGCAGAGTGTACATGCCCACCGTGCTCACTGAGAGCAGCCTGCTAGATGAGCACGTGCTGTGTTCACATAAAAACCTCCATGATTAGCAAGGCTGAAGTCCAGCAGTGCACTCTGACCACAACAGAGGAATTACCAATCAATAACAGACAACAGACAGGTCACAGGCCCCCCCCAATCCCAAAAGAGTCAGCTAAATCCACATATTTGGGGATTAAACCATGTATTTACTTCTGTGTAACTTATGAGTCAAAGAAGAAATCACAAGATGAGTCACAACCCAGTATTAACAGAATGGAAATAGAAACACACATCCCAGGGTTTACGGAAGAAGCTGTACCAGTTGCCACACCTGCATTTACATCCCTGCAACTACAATAGGAGAAGACCTAATCTCAGAGTCTAAGTCTGCACCTTAAGACACTGAAAAGAACTGGGTGTAGGGGGCTCATGCCCATGATCCCAACACTTGACAAGCTGAGGCAAGAGGATTGCCATGGGCAAAAGGCATGAGTCCCTACTTTAAAGAATGAGTAAACACATACAGAAAAAGAACTGTACAAATAAAGTTAACCCAAAGCAAACAGAAGAAGCAGAAACTAGTGAGAGAGAAAACGAAAAAGGAACTATACCTTGAAAAGGCCAGTGGGATGGGGAGACTTTGACTGCGGTGTACAGAGATGCCTTGGCATCCAGACCGTTCTTAAAGAACGCTGTTCTGAACCAGTTGACCTCGTGCTGCAGCCATCATGATGGCAATGCAGAAATTAACGCAAAGTAGCTCCCAGGCCTTTATGGAAGAGCTAAAACTGTAAAACCTGTAGACGAAAACATGAGAAAACACTCATGGCCTTGGGCTACAGCAGAGCTAATTAGATATAACACCAAAAGCATGATCCATAAAAGGAACATTGATAAAGTAGACTTCATAAAGATTAAAAAATGCGAGCACTTCAAAGATATGTGAAGAATGTGAAAACAAGCCACAGGCTGCGGAAGATGTTTGCAAATCGCTTGTCTGTGGTTATGTTCAGAATGAATAAAGAACTCTTGTCACCCAGCAAGGTAGACAACTTAGTTTGAAAATGGGCGGATGTGAGCTATTTCAGCACAGTCTATGTGAATGGTTGCCAGGGCACACAACCATGATAAATGTCATTGCTCACCAGGAAGTGCAATCAAAACCACCTCGAGATGCTACTAACCCTCTAGAGCTGCTCTTATGCAAGGGCCAGAGGTTGCTGATGCAGGAAGGAAATCCAGAGTCCTTGCTCATTGCTGATGGGAGTGTGGACAGGTACAGCCACGCTGGGAAAGTCTGGCAGATTCTTAGTAAGTTTTATTCAAACCTGCTGTATGACTGAACAGTTCTGACCTAGGAATAAACTCAACTGGAGACATGGCCTCCCGAGGGACACACGAGACTCTTAACAGCAGTGTCGCTCAGTACAGTCCAGAGCTGGGAACTTGGAGGCCCATTAGCCAGTGACTGGACTAACAGCAGTGGAGGTACCATGGGCTATCGATCAGGAAATAGATGAGGGCTTGCCTCCAAATGGTTCAGTCCCACAGGTGCTGTGCTCAGTGAGGGGAAGAGTGCAAGGCTCGCTTAGCGCTGCATTCCGTAGAATGCCCAAGAAGGGCAGGTTCAGAGACAGTGGCTGCCGTGGGCTGAGGTCTGGGGAACACAAACATCACAGAGCAGTTACCAGGCTTTTCAGAGGGGTGTAGAGCTGGACTGGATCCTGCACACATCTAAGCTGATCACAGACTGTTGACCTGCGACTTTCAGTAGATGTCTGTATAGTAGATAAATTGTCCCTTACTTGGTAAAGCTATTGACACAAAATGTGAGGATGCAGGAATGTCTCTGGCACACTTTCCCAGCATGCCCAGGGCCTTTATATGGTTGTACACAATTACTTCTGGTTTTTAACTGTTAAAATTTTGACCACCTAATGTGTGGTCAAATTGTTTGCTTATTTTATACATAATTTCTAATTCTGAAGAAGTCATAGCTTATTTATTCGCTGAACCAAATTACTTCATCAAATGCACCAACCGTTCCAGAGAAAGTGGTTTGGGGTTGGGTAGATTTGCTGGTTCAGATCTGAGCTTGTGCTGCCCTGATGTGTTGTAGTTGCTAAGGAACCAAAAGACTCTGTGGGGCTCCCAGACTCTTGAGTCATGGAGAAAGTAACTATCTCTCTTGGTCCCCTTATCCTGTTTGAGGATGAGGGAACCCCAGTGAATTACTCAGGGCTATCCTTGCAGGTATTGACAAGCTTGTCACTCAGTTGGGGCGCTCCACCAGCCCACAGCCAGATAGCTGGTTGGCCATAGATGGCCTGCTTATGGCTTTGTTGAATCCTGAAGCCCTTCCCTTCCACAGCCTGCTCTCTCGTTGCTACTGTGTTTCTGTCACTCACAGAATCTCCTGTTTCAGCTCTTGCAGTTCAACCCTCTGGAGCGTTTGGGTGCTGGAGTTGCTGGTGTTGAAGATATCAAATCTCACCCATTCTTCCATCCAGTGGATTGGGCAGAACTGACGAGATGAGCATCATGTGGAGTGTTCTTCAAGAGACAGAGCCCCTTGTGACAGATCTCCAGAAGTGTCTAGGCTTCGGTCACCTTCCAGCTGGTGCACCAGAGCCCTGGGACAAGACCATAGAGGAAGTGATGGGGCAGGAGGCTAACAGACTCCCACCCACCTGCTGTCTGGACAAGAGACTGGTGAACCTTGCCAGCAGTTGCATTGCACTTGCCCTCCCCGAGATGTGACGTAACTTGCATTCAGGGTTTCTGGTGTGTTGCAGACGTGAATGAGAATGTCTGTGCAAACACCCCTGCTAGGAAGCTGTAAGTATAGAAGGGAGATTTACGTGTGTGGAGGTTCTTACCATGGCAGCTAATGGTGCTTCTGCTATACAAGACTGGTTTACATGATTAAGTCGCTATTTGCTGAGTAACACACTAAGTTCGTTTCTGTGACCAGGTCATCTATGGGCTGACAATGTGAAGAGGACTGCCCAGTGCCAAGCAGGGCCAGGCTATCTGAGGAAAAACACTCTTGCCAGCTTTCGACTTGCTGGTCGATGCTGCTAACTCTTCGGGGCTCATGGGAACGTGTCTGTCCTCCAGCCCTTCTCTTACCTGCTCCGTTTCCTGCGTTCTCTGCTTTTTCTCTTGGATTCCACTTTATTCTTCTGTCAACACACAAGCAACAAAAAAGGGAAGGGGTATTTATTCCCCCAAACTGTCAGTGTAACAAGACTAAGAAATCATGATGTAAAATAAATGTGGTTAAAATTTGTGTGGTTTCTTTATTAATAAAGATTTAAAGGTTCATTTTGAAGGGTCCTCTTATTCTGTTCCTTCTCTTGTGGAAAGTGGACAGATTTTTTTTTTTTTTTTTTCCCTGCCGTGGCTTAGTGTATTTGTTTTTACGACCCAGTGAGGTGCGGTGGAGCTGAACTCCAGATGCTCTGGGAGAGTCAGAGTTTCACCTGTATCACGTTTACTACTGCAGCTGCTTCATCTTGCTAAGGTAGCGTGGCTGCCACCATGCTGTTTGCCAAAACTTGGAGATGCCTTAAAAGTCTTAGTGTCTGCCTGTCAAACTTCACGCAGAGATTAGGAACAGGGCCACCAGGAACTCCTGAAACTCCTGTTCTTTTGTTGTCATTGTGTTTTGTTTCTGTTTGTTGCATCAGAGATTAGACTCAGAACCCTGTGCCCGCATGCTAGGCAGGTGCCATCCCATTGAACTTTGCTCCAGCCCCTGGGTTTTTCTGTTCTAATCCATGTGCTTTTGAGTCTGTGTGAGAGGCCGTCCTGGCCCCAGGAGAATCTTGGCATCCATCTGCTGACTTCCAGGTCTCCCATCAGGATAAACAGAAGCAGAAGTGTTTGTTCGAACACAGGAAATGTGCAAGCATTTCCCTCTTCTATTATCTGACCCCTTCTTTCCCCTCTTCGGTCCCCTTTGACTCCACCCCCCCCCCTTTAGTCCCCTTATAACCCGAAACCCAGCTGAAGGGCTGTGACAACACCAGGTTGGGATATAGCAGGTCACCAAACTCAGACCTCAGTCAAGATGACGTCAGTCCCTGGAACTGGGTTTGGCCCACCACCTCCTGGCCTCATGACAGGAACTCATGCAGGTGAGACACAGGAGGGCAGGCTTCCTGTGTGGGTTGGTAGGAAGTCTGTGAGCAGATCAGTGCAGAACTTCCTTCCAGAAGTGTCTTGTGACACAAAATTAGGATTGTACAACGAAGGTGAAGTCCCCGCCCTTCCATGTGATTTGGGCCCCTGGACTCGAAGGACAGTAACATAAACAAGTGGTTGCCATGTCATATTTCCACATACTTCCGCAGCTACAATCTCTTTCTGCATGTTTGGTTGGGGCTTGTACTTAGTACAAACACACTGGACACAAATTATTTTAGAAACAAAGCCAGGTAAATGGTTGTGGGAGAAGCCCATCTTTCATGAAATGCTACGTGCATGCTTGAAGTTTCAGTGGTGTGAGACCGGCTTCCTTTGTAGTTCATATTTTGATGGCTCAAGTAGAGAGTTGGAATATAGGTCAGAACCATAAAGGAAATTACCACTTAGCTTAGTATTTTACATCTTTTTTTTTTAACTAGAGTAATAGTAAATTTTGTCAATTTGAGAGTGTGTGTGTGTGTGTGTGTGTGTGTGTGTGTGTGCTCAAATGTGCACATATGTGGAGGTCAGAAGCTGACACTAGGTGTCTGTCTTAGAGTTTCTACTGCTGTGAGGAAACACCATGACCAAAGGTAAATGGGGAGGAAAGGGTTTATATGGCTTATACTTTCACATCACTGTTCATCATTGGAGGAAATCAGGCAGGATCTCAAGCAGGGCAGGAGGAGATGCAGAGGCCATAGAGGGGTGCTGCTTACTAGCTTGCTCCCCATGGCTTGCTCAGACTGTTTTCTTATAGAACCCAGGACCAGCAGCCCAGGGGTGGTGCCACATGTGATGGACTGGGTGCTAATTAAGGGAATGTCCTACAGACTTGCCCGTAGCCCAAGCTTATGGAGACGTTTTCTCCACTGAGGGTTCTTTAGCACGTGACTTTAGCACGCTGATACAAAACTATCCAGCACAGTGTCTTCCTTGGTTTCTCTTCACTGTATTTTTTGAGGCAGTACCTCTCACTGAACCTAGAGTTCACCATTTTTTCTCTACTGGCTGTGAGTGAGCCCCAAGGATCCTGTCTCCTCCTGTTCAGTGCTGGGATCACAGGTACATGTTGCCTGTGTTTTCACATGGGATCTGGGGATCTGAACTCAGGTCCTTATGTTTGTGTAGCAGGGACTTTGCCTACTGAGCCATCCCCCAGCCCTTCTTCAGTCAGTTTTAGGCATATGATGGAGAAGTGTCATTTAGCAGGCTTAAATCTTTGTGCAGCCATCACTATCTCTCTTCAGAACTGAGCAGAAACCATATCTCTTCCATGGCAACTTGCTGTTGGTGGTGCTCTCCTCGGCTTCTGGTCTTCATGCCTTGGCCTATGGTAGGCATTTCATGTAAGTGGAATCATATACCGTGTTTTTATGTGTCTGTTTACTCTGTGTTTTCCAAGTCCCATCCATGTTGTGGATCGTGTCTGTCTCCTATTAAAGATCAACTTACACTCACTATGTACATATCACATTCGGTGAGGTGACTCACCTGGTGAGTTAGATCCAGCACTAAGGCCAGCTGTCTTGACTTGGCTGTGGTCTTGGCAGCCTGTTCTTACTATCCTGGTGGACTGTCCATCTGTTAATAGTGTTCCATTATGGACTCACTACGTGTGGCGTAGCTATCTGTTGGGCTACCTTACTGTTTCACCTTTGGGCTGTTGTGAGTAATGGTGTTCTGAACTTGGATGTGTGGGTTCCTGAGTGTCCCTCTCCCCATGACTTTGTGTTTTTACTTGGAACCCCCAGTGCTGATTTTTCTCTGCTCTTCTACAAGGCTTTGTCAGACAGACTCATACTATGAAACAGGTAGGTGACTGAGGTGTCCAAAAAGCGAAGAGAATGTCACCATGATCTAAGTTTCTGACATTGTGACATGAGTTTGTATTATTTGAGACAGATATTTTTAACTTCTTAACTTTTTATTTTAATTGAAAGGTAATATGCATTTATTGGATACAATGTGATGTCTGGCTATGTGTTTCATTGTGGAACTTGTGAACATGCATCTGCATAAGTACTTACTGTGTGTTTGCATGAGAATGCTCTCCATCTTTTTTGACATTTTTGAATATGAATCATTCTTGGTGGCAGCCATGTTCCTTTGACTAGCACCTCCTTCTGGTAGCCACTGTTCTTTGTAAGGGTTCACTGGGATATTGGTAAAATGTTCAGACTGCCTTGTGTATTTTGTATAACATATGTGCATATGTGTTCGTGTGTGTTTTGAAAATGCCGTCTTTCCTGTCATGTACACCTGGCTGGCTGGCCTGCAAGCTTCTGGCAATTCTGTCTCCATCTTACACCTCACCACAGGAGCCTTGGGATATAGCTGCACTCCACTGTGCCTGGCTTCATGTGGGCTCTGGGGATCTGAATTCAGGTCCTTACTCTTGTGTGACAAGCCCTCTATCTACTGAGCCATCTCCCCGGTCTTATTCAAACATTTTTAAAGTAGCTCCAACTTGGTTTTTCCTTCAACCTTTCCCCGTCTGCACTTACTTCAAGGTCTTTGGGAATCAAGAATGGGTTCTCTCCCATGCATATACTTGGGCTTGGTGGCAAGTAGGACTACTCCAGAGACCACATGGCATGCCTTGCCCCAGAAGCTGGCGATGCTAAAGAAACGTGACTATAGTGATGAGAAGAACCTTGCTTCCCAAGGGCTCCTCTTGCCATTCTGCTGGAACTCACACACATCTTTCAAGAACTTGGTTTCTGTTTTGTAAATGCTCTGGGTGATCGAGCCTGGTATTTCAAGCTCTTTTTTTTCAAGGATTTTGGCATACAGCAGAGCATCTTCGAGTGGTGTACTGGTGGTGCTGATTGGCTTTCAACCTCAATCCAATGGTACTGTTGTGGACCCTTGATGCAGTGGGAGAAGGGGCAAGCTCTGTGCTGTACAAGAGCATGGTGGGAATTCAGTTTCCCACCATGAACTAGTATGGTCATCCCACATTTTAGAAGGCAAGGTTAACAAAAACTCTGAATTGGCACTTAACTGTTTTCTTGTAATTATTTTTCTGTTATCCCTAGGCTCGAGTTGCTGCCATACCCCACTCAGTAGCACATCCCTTGATGGTCGCATAGCTATAAAGACTGACTAGATGGGCTGGAGAGGTGGTTCAATGGCTGAAAGTGCTTTGTTCTTAGAGGGCACCAGAGTTCGATTCCATCTACGCCAGCAGGTTACAACCATGTATAACTCTAGCACCAAGGAACCAAAAATTCTCTTTTGAATCCTGTGGGCACTGCACTAATGTGGCATACACACACACATACACACCAGAGAGAGAGAGAGAGAGAGAGAGAGAGAGAGAGAGAGAGAGAGAGAGAGAGAAGAGAGAGAGAGAAGAGAGAGATGAGAGAGAGAGAGAGAGAGAATCCTGTGTACTACAGAAGGCCAGGTGAATGGATGGAGCTGGTGTGTGGGTTCATGGACTGGTTTAAAAGCCATGCTTGGACATGGGATGTCATACCCTAGGCTGCAGGGGAATCAGTAGCTGGTGTGGCTGAAAGCTTCTCCTGAAGAGATTATTTTAGGGTTAGAATAGAGAGTAGTTGGAGGGGAAGAGATGAGAGGCAGGAGTGTAGTTAGGATCCCCTGCAGAAACTTGGTGGGGGCAGAATCCAGAGCATGGGGAGAATGTGGAGGAGAAACTTCAATGTAGTCCTGCCTGCTCCTCCCAAGTCTAGAACTTCCTGACCAAGTAATTGCTTTCTAGAAAATAGCTTGTACCCAGAGCTAGTGTTTCTCTATAACATCACCCAGAAGGGTTCTCAGAGAAAACCAAGCACATGTATTTGAGGTTGATAACGCTGCCCCACTATTCAGAGCCCCAAGCTCTGGGTCCCTGCCTGGCCTTAGAATGTTACTCTTATATTGTTGGTTTGCTTTTTGTTTCAGTATCATCCTGGCCTTTGCTCTTGGTTTGCTTCTCCCGTCTTCTCAGACCTTTGGCATAATTCGTTTTAGCTCAGTGGTTCTGAAAGGTACCCTCCGTTCTGAGTCACTGGTGAATTTTTTCTCTTGCAGCTCTTCTTTGAGCTTGGAACCGCATCTACATATAAAGCTTTGGGAAAACAGGCTGGGG